ACATGGGGGAATTTTTTTCTTTTGCGTTCCCTCGCAATACCTTTGTGTTACCTCGCAATTTTGTTTTGCATTCCGACGCAAAAGTTTGATTTGTATATGAAATGAATTAAATCAGAATTTATTTTGAAATATTCAGTAACTAAAACAGGATGTGTCACTACAAGTTAGTGAAATAGACATTGATGTTGCGTGGCTGCACTGTGTCAAATATCAACATTTGACATACTTCCATGCGTGGCTGTGTGATGTATTCATTCTAAAGCTGAATTAAAGCAGTAGGCTAACTCATTAATGGTAAACATGTGAGTTTGTTAATAAACCGGCAGGCACAACAGTGATAAACAACTTTTGCGAGGGAACGCAAAAGGTATTGCGAGGTAACGCAATACTTTGGCGTGGGAACGCAAAAAGAAGAAAAAATCCCCCATGTCCCCTCGCGGGCTCAGTAAAAAACACCACATCTCTACTCCAAATATTTTATATGAGAGCAATATGTTTTTGGTCATTTCAATTTTTACATTTTTATATCGTTAAGCCTTGCCTGCCATTCATTATTTCCTGTCTGTTTGCAAAATATCTCAAGAACTACAGTAGTGAACAGATTGCAGCAAAACCTAAAGAAAATGATTGTTCAATTTACATTTACAAYTGATTAACTTTCAAAGTCAGCATTATGGCCTCCACAGCTAACTAGCAAATGCAAAAATGGMTATACTCAATCAGTTCTGCAGATATTGGGCTAAAATTAGGTGGGATAGTAGCTGAGAGTATTCCTAACACATATTATGTGCACGCACAGATTATGTGAGGTTACGGTTTAAAACTTTGACATGCAAAACAGTGGGTGATATGCATTCATGAGAGTGTTAATAAGCTGTTCTTTGATGTTGTAAAGAAAGTTTGTGCTTTTATTGCATTTTTTGTTGTTTGTTGACAAACTTTTGATACAATAGATACAAATGGAACATGCTAAACAAAATCAAAAGTGGTGGGTTCCAATGGGGTCCGAGACACCTGTCAAAGAAATGCACCAGGTGCACTCCTGCTAATTAAGATTTTTGAACATAAGGGAGATTTCATTGTATATTTATGTCTTTTAGCAGATTTTAAGATAACCAAAAACAAATCATGCAGAACATAAACACATCCCTCCTCTTGTCTGTTTATCACCAGCAGCAGCAGCAGCTTCCAGCCGTGAGGTTGAAGGGAATCGATGCTGGAGGGGTGGGGGGGTCCCTCCTCAGCGCCCGAGCGAGCACGAGCGCCCATCGCGGGAGCGCGCGCATAGGAAGGGAAGGGGGGGAAAGGGAAGAAGGAGCYGAGGCAGCCTCACACAGTCGCCAGCGGAGCCCAGGACGGCGGATGAACGGAGCGCAGCGTGCGTGTCGCCCTTGTCGATTTACCGCAGCAGCTTCCCCCTCAAGAGCCGCGTCCCGCAGCCCGAAACCCGCCCGAAAAATGCTGCTCAGAGTGGCCGTTCTGCTCGGGGCGCTCGTCGGCGTCAGTCAAGGTAAGGATGATGATGGCGAGGTGTGTGTGTGTGTGTGTGTGTGTGTGTGTGTGTGTGTGTGTGTGT